CAAACTCTTTCTTTTTAAATTTTTACTAAAGGATGATGGCTATGAAACCAAATATATCAGACATAACATCAGTGGGATGGAAAATTCTGAGCTCAGTGCTATAGACAACAGAGCAGAATTTTTGAAACCAGAATTTCAGTGAATGATAATAACATTTCACAGTGTGTGATCTCTTTCATTTGTCAGGTTTTCAATGAGGCAGGATCTTGCATTATATACTCTAATAAAATGCAAAGGTTTAGGGATTGCTTGCCCCAGTGTTACTTCCTTACATGTCTCCTGCTGAAGAAACTGAGCTAATGTGGACAAGGGAATCACCCGTGAGACACGAGCCTACTAAATAAATCCACAGACTATATATCTTCAGCCTCTTAGAAAGCTAAGAGAATCTGTTTGCTTCAAGTCAGTGTTTATCATGGCAATCCGCAAAGACGTTTCATAAGTTCACAGGGGTACAGAAATGTCAAGACCTTTTTAAATAGCAAAATAACATTTCTGTGGGTTCTAAGTTACACAAAGAGTGAGGAACTCGAGATTTCTTTTGAATTGACAAATACAGACAACCAGACACAAACAGATGGAATAAAATTCTTCTAACGTGAACATTTGCTCTGTTCAGATTATCACTTTTTGATTCCACTCTCTGACACTGAGCACTCATCATCTATTATGACAATGAGTCAGTTCCTTGGAGGAATTCAAGAAAGTATCTCTGAACCTAAATGAATGAGGTCAGCCATAAACCATCTGAGCAAGCAAATCTTGAGAGAACATGCTGGCTGGAAATGACATGGTATTGTACTCTTAGATACAAAGAAATATCTACATGACAAACATTGTGATGTGTAGCCCTGCTTTCCTTTGTTGCATAATCAGAGAGGAAAATGAGTTACATTGGTCATATACAGTGTCATTTTCAGAATTCTTTCAAATACAAAAGTTCATGGTGGAAATACTTTCATGGATCTGAATTTATCTAGTTGCATTCTACTTTGTGTTCACTAGAGAGGGTAACACATTTAGTTTACAAATAATATTCTTTTTGTAACAAAAAATATGACACAAAAAGAGAAAAATCTTTTATAGCAAATGTGTTCTCCTAATATTATAACCCCAACAGTTACATGAAGTATTTATTTATATCTTGAAATGTATGACTCTCAAATGGATTTGAAAAACAGGAAAAGAAATTCTCAAGAACTATTTAATTTTTGTACAGTTCATATATTTAATAATGATTTTGTAAATCAATACTAGACACTTCCCTTGAGATATGTGGATTAAGATTCTCTTTAGGAATGCAAGATAGATGCCTGAGGATTTCTATTAGTTCCATTGGCTCGACACTCGTAGTATGAGTATGCCTTAAAATCTTTCTGCAATTCAATTATTTTGATATATTATGTTAAAAGCCCTCATTTAATAAATATTCTAACTTTAAAATAGATACAAATAATAATCTTATTTTCTAAGAATGAAACAACATTCTCTTTGTAAGTAGACATATACTCTATGGTTTTGTTTTTAATTGAACTTTAATTTAAGGTAATAATAATACATATATAATTGATAGAAAAAACACAAAGTGATCCTCACAACCTTTCTAAGCATTTCAGACTGATGGTATATTATAAAGTTAGAAAAAATATCACAGTCGTGCTATCAGCATAGTTATACTCAGCATATAGAACATTAGGCTGATTGTTAAGAGACACATTCTCCAACATGCTGCTCATTAAGAGACATAAATTCTCCCCTAAATCTACCTCTCTTCTTAGACTCTAGTATCCACTCACTTGTACTCCATTTCTATTATTTTATAATTCCAAAATTGTTTCACAAATGGAAGCACTCAGTATATGTTCTTTTGGGGTTAGCTTTATTATACTGCCTTCCATCTACTATACTGTAGATATACTCATCCCTAATTCATACTGAAAATGTCTTGCATCAAGGTGATCTCTTAGATTCTGAAGATCCCTTAGATTCTGCCAAGTGATGATGACAATCATGATTGTGTCCATATTAGCAATTTTTAACATTGGTATGTAAGAGGTTTAGCTAACTAAACAAATTTAATCATATCACAAAATTGCAACAGGATAGGTTCTGTTATCACTACTATTGTACAATGACCAACTCAAAAAAAAAGAAAATCCAAACTTTCAAAGCATGTAACATACACAGTATTTAAAAATCATTTTGCCTTTTCTTTTTTAAAAGCTAGATGATTTGGTATTTATGAGCAAAATCATGATGTAAACACTATGAAATATCATGTAAACTCTTAGAAATGAAGATTATGTAACAAAATAATTGCACGTGACATAATCTTGAGTTAAAATAGTCTGACTACAAAATAGTACATTCTTACTGGTTACATGACTCAGTTTTGCATAAAGTCACAGGTTAAAAGAAATGATACAACATGCCAAGGACTCACTTTTCCTCTAAGCAATCCCCACATACATACCCATTGTGTATTCTTCCCTTTAGTGAGAAGCTAAATTGAGCTTATTAATTACATCCTTCTGTGACTCAAGCTCCTTGACTCCCTACTGAGGCCCTCTCACCTGGATTTCAACGGCAACTGTCCTGAAATAAAATCATGGAAGTCCCTAGGTCACCAAGATTCCAAGTTCGAACTTCTCTTTTTACTCGGATTTCAGCTTTTCACAGTCTAGATTCTTACTCACCCTTAACCTTTTTTATCCAAAAAATCATCTACCAGTTCTTCACTTTCCTTAACTCCTTCACTGGGATAGGAAATATTCTCATTTACCTTTTACCCTCAAAATTTTGAGCGTTTTCAAATTATCCTCAAAGTGTCAGTTGAATTAATGGCACTTCCTCTAGCAGCTCTGCCCCTTGCTACCTAAATGAAGAAAGCACTCGCGCTGCTTTACCTTCTAGGCCTTCGCAATTGCATCTACTTTTATACCTGTCATATATAGCTTTCTCTGTGAATGATACTTAGATATCACCTGTGCTGCCAAAGGAGTTGAGACTGTGGAATACATCTCCAGATTCTATTGCTTTCTAATCTTTAGCATCTCCTCTAACTTCTAGAACAGATATTCATCCTTTCTCCCGAAACCTGTGTTTACCCTTCCATTATAGAATCTGAACTCAGTTCATTCAGACGATTCTTCTCAGTAATTTCTAATCAGATATAATTTGCCCATCTTATAACTTCATAAAACTTATTTTCAGTTCTAACATGACAGTAATTATGTTTGACATCTTTTAACACAAGCTATTAGATTGAATCACATGAAATTACTATGATTTTAACCTATATTTTTAACATCTTTGAAAATGATACACTGTATTAACACCTGTTAGTATCTTATTATTTTGTTATAAAATTGTTTCATTTTTTCATAAAAAAATATGTTCTTTTGGATTTTGAATGTCAAATGAACGGTCTCTATGAAGACAGGGGACGACTTTTCCCTTTTGTTATATCCTTTGAAAAGTTAAGATTGTAAATTGTAAGGGGGTACCTGCAAAATAAAGACTCTTAAATCAATAAATGTCGTATGTGTGCATGCTTTTAAAAAATCAATAGTTTATAGCAATTAGGCTAACTGAACACAAAATTGCTAATTGTCTCCCAAATCAGTCCCCCTAGTAGAGCTGAGCAGCTTTTGAAACTGAAAATTCTGGAATATGTTTGGATTCAAGGCACTGTTTTAAATCATTTATTTGTAAAGGAGATATTCTTAGATTTACAGGTTGGTAGATACAGTGAAAAGCTTTTTAGTTGACTAAAAAAAAAAAAAAATCAAAACACTTTTTAGCACATGCACTTCTCTTATAAAAACAAATTGCCTGAAAGCAAAGCACAGCAGTTTGCACACAATGAGTATGTGCTTACCAGCAGCAGCAGGGGATGCAGGGAGAATGACAGGAACAATTTGCATTTCTATAGCTCCTTTGTATACTCACCTTCCAAAAGCATTTCACAAAGAGGTAAATATCCTGGCTTTAAAAAAGCAGTGAGAGGAGGTCCACGCTAGTATAGACTGGACTCAGGTTAGTCAAGTACAGAGTACTAGAAGCACAGTAATGGTTCCCACATAGCTTTAAGTAGGTGAGCAATTAATAGGTACTGGCTAACAGAAGGGAAATGTGTTCTGAGCATCACCCAGATCATCAATGGAGAAAGATTTTTCTTTCTTTACAGTCATTGTATGCCTAAAATGTATCTGCTGACTTTCTCAGTACTCATTGGTATCAGCCTCTGGCCTAAGACACTGCTCATCAATTGCCAGTTTCTCACATCACTCAAAAAATCACTGCATCAAAAGAATGACACAAAAAAGAAGAAAAGTGTGTAAAGAGCCTATAAAATACTGGGCAAAAGAGCAGAGACCACTGCTTATTCTGTAATGTCCTGGGTGCTCTGCAAGAACATCACTAAACCTTGGAGAAGCTATGTACAGAGGTCCTCTCTTGCTCTTCTCCCATCTTTCTTCTCCAGCAGCTCAGGCACTGTGTGAACTGTGATTCTGAACCTGCGCTGCAAAGTTCTCAGCTCTAGTTATCATAACAGCAGCCCTGACTGTCCTCCAGGGGTCACAGTCGGGTTACAAATCCCTCACAGTGCAGGGGCTGAGCAGCCTGATTGGAAACAATTTATCTGAATCTGTCTTCATTAAAATTCAAATGGAATAAGTAAGCTAGAAATTGAACAGACCCTGAAATTGTGCCTTGCTGCTCTTGTAGTCAGTAAACATTTATTCACTAAGCACAACACGTGAGTTCTCTCCTTCTCCTCCTCACTTACACTTGCTCCTCCAATCTTTCCTGCTTGCTGTTTCAGTTCATAATTAAGAAGGTCAGAATTAATGAAGCAATGTGTAATAAAGTTCAAGGAATCCCCAGGCACTATTTATTCTATTAGATCTCAGGCACGAATGTCAGATTGGCAGCATAAACCTCATCAACAATGAGGCTCACTGCATCCCAGGAAACACCCACCCAGAGAGACTCACCTGCACTGTCAAGTCATTCCAAAGCTCCTTCCCCGCAAAAATCACACGCAGCTGGTCAGCTGGAACCCCCTGTCGCTTAGCAACCACTTCTTTGAGCTGGAAGATGCTGGTATCAGAATTGACCTCCACTGGGAAACCATGACTGGAGTTGAATCGGACAAACACTAACCAAGAAATTGGAAAGGGAAAAAAAAAAAAATAATTACTCAAAGCCCATAAATGGCAACTTCAATATGTCTGAATCAACTTATTCCTCATCTGCCCTCCAATGAATGGCATATATTTTCTTTCACTTGTAACTGAAAACTTAACAGTAAAGCAATATTTGGAAAAAAAAATAACTTTCCCCAGGAGATTTCCTTTCACATATTAATCAGTGACCCACAAGTCAAAATTCCATTCTCCCTTGACAACCATCCTGGGAAACAGAAGGACTCAAGCAGAACATTTGCTTGATTGGAATAGTGACATTCCCATGAGTTTATCAGAGATTCAGCTCTGACAGCCTGAACCAACTCTCAGTCCCTCCAGAGTGGTCGTGAATAAAAATAAAAGTCAATGAGCTAGAAGGAAGGAAAAAATTTAAGTCACTCTATTGCCTAGGGGAGAACCAATTGGGGATGTGTCCAGAGCTCTGGGTTTTGGAAATCCTGGTCAAAATCTCCTCTGGTTCTATGAAAACAATTATTCATGTTGTGTTTTAAAATTAATTACTTTATTTCTCTTATTGGAACCATATTTTCCCATGAGATACAGGTCAGAACCTACAGTCTTTTGCCTACTGCCATCTAATTTCAGTTGCCATACCATCTTTGATACATGCCCAATGTAATAACTTACAAGCTTTTTCTAACTCCTTCAATGATGTGGTCAGGTCACTATCATTAACCTTATATAATAAATGAATAAGTGAAATAGTGAATAAAGGCCCAGAGAATTATGATAACTCTCCTAAGGATATTAACTTTTTTGTAAAATCAAAACCCAGAATCATTTGATCTTAATCTAAAGTTCATCCTATTTTCAAAGCCTTTTTAGGAAAAATGTCCACCTTTTCTCTTATGGCAATTATTTGGTCAACAAAAATATTTGTGTGAATAGGAAGACATGTTTTAAGCAAGTGACCTGCTCATTAATTAAAAGTCATATGACAAATGACTATTTTCAGTGAGGTCTCAATCTTTTTCTGACAAGTGTGAGAAATGTGTTAAGTTGTGTTCTCAAAGAGGAGAGAAAGCAAGCAATAAACCCTTTGCAAATATCTTTAGAGCACAAAAAGAAAAATTTGAATACTAGTTAAATCATTTACTAATTCTATGATTTAAGACAAATCATCTGGTTTCCTTGACTCTCAACATTCGTTGCCTGCTAAACTCAGGTAATGTATGTAACCTCAAAGCCTGTCATGTAAGGGTTATTGAGATTATGGATACTATAAAAATTTCAGAAACAATCCAGGTATAGAGCAAGTCTGTATTCCAAAAACAGTTGTCAAATTTTAAACCACCCAGGGGAGATAGAACTCACTAAAGCGGCACTCACAGTTTGTACTGTAACTAAAGCAGAGTAGATGGGATGCAGGAAAATACCACAGTAGACAAATTTTCTGGTATCTGTTTCTCTCGATCATATGCAAAGAACTTCTATGGAAAGAAGTATGACAGAGAATTTTGTTGTCTGCACTTGCACAGGTTTAATATTAATTTGTTGAGCTGGACAAGTGGCACATGCTTATAAAACTAGCATTCTAGGAGAGCACAGCAGAAAAACATCACAAATTCAAGCTTTCCTTGGCAAATTAGCAACTTAGCAATATCTTGCATCAAAATAGAAAACAAAAAAAGACTAGGGATGTAGCTTAATGTGTACAGATTGAGTTAAGCCACAGGAATGAAAAAGAATCATTTGCATTTTTTAGTAACATTTCTTGTAATATCAGAAAATCCATATCAATAAATAAAATCAATAGTTTACTATCAATAAATATAATGCACTGATGAGAAAAAGGATTAGGAGACACATAGACCTTCATTTTTATATTACTCCTAATCACAATTCACAAGTCCAAGAGGAATAAGGAAGTAAGGAGGAAAGAAAGACAAGGATTACTGGTTGATGGTGCTGCTGTTTCTTTCCATGTTGTTTTGTGAATTCTTGCGAAGGTCTAAGTTTTTGAGTTCATTTTGCATGGAGAGCACCATGTGACTTAGGTGTCTGATTAATCCCATATGGATTGTCACTCGTTTACTGATTAGCTAACTGCAAGGAATAAACCCTTCAGAGTTGGCATTCCTTCTTCCAGTCAGAGTGAATACTTCTCTGTAATGGAGATGCTATATGATTGACCAATAGAACTGAAGTTCAAGACTGGCACATATTTGTTGAAGAAGCACTTTCAGATAGCATGGAACATCATGTGAGGCCTAGACATTTTTCCTGACAGAGTAAGAATGTCAGTGCATATAATGTCATCTTTCTCCTCAAGAAAGAATGCCTTAGGATAGGTAGTATGTTTAGTTCCGCACACAGGCTGGGATCATGAAAACTCCCTAGAAATAGTGGCAACCAAAAAATAACTCCACATATTTCAAATCTCCTTTAGTGATGTCATTTTTTGAGTAATAGCCTCTTTCTTTACAAAATCAACAAATAAAAACACACTATGTCGTCACTTTCAACTTTTATACTCCTCCATTTATTTATTTACTTACTTATTTACTAATTTATTTTTATTTATGGCATAAGGTATCACTTAGCAGTGCAGGGTGGCCTTGAACTCATTGCATAGGCCAGGCTGGCATCAAAATCATGACGACTCTGCTGCTTCTGCCTCCCAATTGCTGGCATTGAAGGTATGCACCACCATGCCTGACTTACCACATTGTTTGTATGGAAAAACTTGAAAATTTCTTATAATTAGTTCTCTATTTTTTAAAATTTTACATTGGTAAACCCATATACTGCTCTTCGCAAAAAGCAAGGGCTACTACATCTCTAGTTCTACTATGAATTTTCTCTTTTCATCACATTTGACCATTCAGAAATGTTATATACTACAGGTTCCATTCACATACTATTTATTTTCCATTAGTATCCCCTATCTTCCTAGTTTTCCCCTAAAACAAAAGATAGAATTTTCGCATCATCTTCTAAATTCTCATTTGTTAGACCTGTAGATACTACAGAAACAAAATATTCTTGCAATGAGTGGAAAAATAGGACAGATAAATCAAGAAACAGAAACTATAAAAAAGAATCATGGATATTTGAGCAATAAATTTATGAATTTTAGAGAAACAGAGGATCTCTCCCCTTCCTCCTTTACCTCTCCCCTTCCCATCCACCTCCCTCCAGATTTCATCTAATTTCATGGCAGTAATACGATGCTATGCATTAATCCCAATAATACTACCGCCAGACTTAGCATCTCAATGGAATTACAGATACCTGTATCAACTAGCAAAAAGTCACCATCAAAAGCACTCATGGTTTCTCTCTGTTTTCAGAGAGAAATTCTTATGTCTTACTCTAAATCAAAGTTCTTCATGGACTGCTAGTATCTCCCAGAACATTTTATACTACTGGTCCACAGTCACCACCCTCTGGCAACATGCTCTTGGCACCCTTCACACACGTCCACTTTATCCTCATCATTGGACCTCTGCCTTAGATGACCAAATCACATAGGATAGATCAGCATTCAATATATAATACCTAAATGAATCCCAATTTCTTGTGTTCAATCTATAAAAAATTTGGTGAAGGATTTTAGCATATTAGGCATTTACCATGGAACTCTTCTAGTAAAACTTGCAACATACATTAAATAATAAAAATCCAGTTTAAGAAATACAACAAAAGAATACGTATGGGTAGTAATTTTTATGTACATGTGTATGTGTGTATATATCCATGTTAAAAATACTGTGTCTATATTATATATGTATAATATGATATGCATGTGTACATGTCTACATTATATATGGCTATGACATCTAAGTCTAATAAATAATTATAAATAATATATATAACATTTTACAAACATTTATACTCAGTATTTTTAAAGCAGATAAAGTAATTGTTAAATATATTTTCTACTATACATTTTAAATTCAAATTTAGTGATTTTTTTCTTTAGAGCAGAAAAAAATGTACAATACAGACAGAACATTTACAGTTCAGAATTAAAGGAAGTAGGGAATAAGGACTAGTATATATGCATACCTATTACTAACATTTTTTAAAAAGCCAAATAGTCACTTTATAAAATATTTTCTTTTCAGAACTCCCTGGATTCCGCCATGGCAGGACTCAAGCAGCTTATTCACCCTTCCTCTTGGTAAATGCCTGCGGTGTGGACCAGGAGGAGAACCAGAGCTCCCTAGATCCGGCTGTAGTGGGACTCAAGCAGCTTATATTTCCACCCCTTAGGTAAGCACCCTTGGCATGGGCTAGGAAGAGAACCATTACCTGTGAGCCTACTGCCACACGGGCTGTAAATCAAGCATCCTTCCCCCTCCGACCAACCTCCCATAGCTACTGGGGATAGATATCTCAGCATCTCTTGGGAGAATGACCATATGCAGTATAGCAAATATGGGGGATTTCCTTCTATCTTCTGTTTAAGGCAAAGGTTGTTTTCACTGTTTTGTTTTGTTATTTTTCTTTTGTTCTATTCATTACTCTCAATAATATTCTATTTTTGGTTTGACTTTGCTATACCTAATTGACTGGACAACTATTGTGAAGTTAAGGAGATAAACCATAGTACCTATTACTACTATCCCAGTATCCTACTGTGAAATCCTGTACCAATTTCACTGCATTGTCTTGATTGGCTTTGTTCTGTCTTGTGCTGTTGCATTTTTACTACTTTAAAATTAAATTAAAACAAATATTTTCTTTGGGTTGCTTATAATGATCCAGAAATGTGACTAGTTATTATGGTTTAAAAAACTACCTGCATCCCATACCATTGGTGATAGGTTGTCTGGTTCTTACATGATTCTCCAATCTTATCTCTTATGTTCTTTGTGATCAAAAATGTCATCTTGTCACCCCACATTCACTACCACACTATACACAATGTAGATGCCAGATAGGTTCTTTCTATAAGGATTGAGTAATGTGCAACCAACCCAACTCCCCTGCAAAAAACTACAAT